TGGAGGTTGCAGTGAGCCAAGATCATGCCACTGCACTCCAGCTTGGGTGACAAGAGCAAAACTCCATCTCCAAAATAATAATAATGATAATAATAATAGTTAAAAAATAAACCAATTACCCCTTTTAGCCTCACCTCATTCAAGGATTAAGTCATTTTCTCTCACAGCCTCACCCTATTTATTAATTTAACAAAAGCTTATATTTATTTGTTTATTAGAGACAAAGTCTCGCTACGTTGGCTAGGCTAGTCTCAAAATTCTGGCCTTAGTGATCTTCTTACCTTGGCCTTCCAAAGTGCTGGGATTACAGGCATAAATCACCATGCCCAGCATATTTTGAGAATTTATATTTTATTTTTTTAGAGACAGGGTCTTGCTCTGTCACTGAAGGTAGAGTGCAATGGCATGATCATAGCTCATTGTAACCTCAAAGTCTTGTGCTCAAGTGACCCTCCTTGCCTCAGCCTCCCAAGTAGCTGGGACTGAAGGTGCATGCCACCATGCCCAGCTAATTTAAGTTTTTAAGCAGTTGAGATACAACTGACTTGAATTTGATAGGTTTTGAATATGTTTACATCAGTGAAACTATCACTATGGTGAAAATACTAAACAGGCTGGGTGTGGTGGCTCACCTCTGTAATCCCAGCACATTGGGAGGCTGAGGTGGGAGTATTTTTAAATTTTATTTATTTATATATTTTTTAAAGACGGGGTTTCACCATGTTGGTCAGGCTGGTCTTGAACTCCCAACCTCAGGTGATCCACCGGCCTTGGCCTCCAAAGTGCTTGGATTACAGGCTTGAGCCACTACGCCCGGCCATTGGGAGTATTTTTTGAAGCTAGGAGTTTAAGACCAGCCTGGACAACATAGTGAGACACCCCCCCTCCCCGACCCTTGTCTTTACAGAAATGTAAAAAATTTCCAGGGCGTGGTGGCACATATTTGTAGTCCTATCTACTCGGGAGGATCCCTTGAGCACAGGAGTTTGAGGTTACAATGAGCTATGTTTGTGCCACTGCAATCCAGCCTTCGTGACAAAATATGACCCTGTCACTTAAAAAAAAATAGTGCTCAGGAGTTGTTGAAAAAAGAAAGAAAAAGGAAAAGAAGAAATACTGAGCATAACCATTTCTGCCAAAAGTTTTCTCCTGACCTTTGTATTTTCTCTTTCCTGACCTTTTGGCCCCCTCCCCCCAGGCAACCACTTATCCACTTTCTGTCACTGTACATCAGTTTGCATTTTATTAGGTTTTTATATAAATGAAATCATGCAGCATGTGCTTTTTTGGAGAGTGGGTGTGGCTTCTTTTACCATAATTATTTTTGAGATCTATCCAAATCCTTCATTGGTTTTTACTGCTGAGTTGTATTTCCCTGTATGAATATACCATAGTTTGTTAATTCATTCACCTATTTGTTTCTTTCAAAATTGTTTTCTTTTTAAGAAATGAGGTCAAGCCGGGCGTGGTGGCGCAAGCCTGTAATCCCAGCACTTTGGGAGGCCGAGGTGGGTGGATCACGAGGTCAAGAGATCGAGACCATCCTGGTCAACATGGTGAAACCCCGTCTCTACTAAAAATACAAAAAATTTGCTGGGCATGGTGGCCCGTGTCTGTAATACCAGCTACTCAGGAGGCTGAGGTTACGGTGAGCCAAGATCGCGCCGTTGCACTCCAGCCTGGGTAACAAGAGCGAAACACCGTCTCAAAAAAAAAAAAAAAAAGAAATGAGGTCTTCTTTTATCTTTTCTTTTCTTTTCTTTTTTTTCTTTAAAGACGGGGTCTCGCTATGTTGCCCAGGCTGGAGTACAGTGGCTATTCACAGGCTCGATCCCACTACTGATCAGCACGGGAGTTTTGACCTGCTCCGTTTTTGACCTGGGCCAGTTCATCCCTCCTTAGGCAACCTGATGGTCCCCCACTCCCAGGAGGTCACCATATTGATGCAGAACTTAGTGTGGACACCAGATCAGCATAGTGCACTACAGCCCAGAACTCCTGGGCTCAAGCGATCCTCCCACCTCAGCCTCCCGAGTAGGTGGGACTACAGGCACCTGCCACTGCGCCTGGCAAGAAATGGGGTCTCATTATGTTGCCTAGGCTGGTCTTGAACTCCTGGGCTCAAGTAATCCTCCTGCCTCCACCTTCACCCTCCCAAAGGGCTAGGATTAGTGTCATTAGCATTTTTTAAATAGAGAAAATGTTCCTATGTTTTCACAATAGAGACAATGTTTTACTATGATGCCCAGGTTGGTCTCCAACTCCTGAGCTCAAGCGATCCTCCCACCTCCGCCTCCCAAAGTGCTGTGATTATAGGCATGAGCCACTGGGCCTGGCCTGGCCTCATTCAACAATTTTTTTTTTTTTTTTTTTTGAGATGGAGTTTCGCGTTGTCGCCTGGGCTGGAGTGTGGGGTGGCTTGATCTTGGCTCACTACAACCTCCACCTCCCAGATTCAAGCAATTCTCCCGCCTCAGCCTCCCGAGTAGGTGGGATTACAGGCACCCGCCACTACACCAAGCTAATTTTGTTTTGTATTTTTAGTAGAGACAGGGTTTCACTATGTTTGCCAGGCTGGTCTCGAATGCCTGATCTCGTGATCTGTCTTCCTCTGCCTCCCAAAGTGCTGGGATTACAGGCCTGAGCCACTATGCCTGGCCTTATTCAACTGTTTTTTTTTTTTTTTTTTTTTTTTTTTTGAGAAGGAGTTTCGCTCTTGTTACCCAGGCTGGAGTGCAATGGCTCAATCTCGGCTCACCGCAACCTCCGCCTCCTGGGTTCAGGCAATTCTCCTGCCTCAGCCTCCTGAGTAGCTGGGATTACAGGCACACGCCACCATGCCCAACTAATTTTTTTTTGTATTTTTAGTAGAGACAGGGTTTCACCATGTTGACCAGGATGGTCTCGATCTCTTGACCTCGTGATCCACCCGCCTCGGCCTCCCAAAGTGCTGGGATTACAGGCTTGAGCCACCGTGCCCGGCCCCTTATTCAACTGTTAATGGGCATTTGGGTTATTTCCAGTTTTTGGATATTAACAAATATTATGGACTGGATTGTGTCCACCCATAAATATATATGTTAAAGCCCTAACCTCCAATGTGACTGTATCTGAAGATAGCTTCTTTAGGAGGAAATTAAGGCAAAATGAGGTCATTAAGGTGAAGCCCTAATCAGCTAGGACTGTAACCTTATAAGAAAGAAAAGAGAGCGATCTCTGCCTCTGTGTGTCTCGCTCTCTCACCCCTTTACTCTCCTTCATTCTCTTTTTTTTTTTTTTTTGACGGAGTTTTGCTCTTGTTACCCAGGCTGGAGTGCAATGGCTCAATCTTGGCTCACCGAAACCTCTGCCTCCTGGGTTCAAGCAATTCTCCTGCCTCAGCCTCCCAAGTAGCTGGGACTACAGGCGTGCGCCACTATGCGCAGCTAATTTTTTGTATTTTTAGTAGAGACGGGGTTTCACCATGTTGACCAGGATGGTCTCAATCTCTTGACCTCGTGATTCACCCGCCTCGGCCTCCCAACGTGCTGGGATTACAGGCGTGAGCCACCGCGCCTGGCCTCCTTTATTCTCTTAATTCCATGTGAGGACACAGAAATTTGGCATCTGCAAGCCAAAAGGAGAGACCTCACCAGGAACCAAATTGGCTGCCACCTTGATCTTGGATTTTCTAGCTTCCAGAACTGTGAGAAACATCTTGTTTAGGCCACCTAGTCTACGATATTTTGTTACAGTAGTTCTAAATGAATAAGACAAGAAATGAAACTGGCTATGAACATTTGTAAGACAAGGCTGTATAGATGTATGCTTTCTTTCAGATAAAGACTCAGGAGTGGAATGGTTGGCTCATATGTACACTTACATTTAATTTTTTTTTTTTTTTTTTTTTTTTAAGACAGAGTTTCGATCTTGTTGCCCAGGCTGGAGTGCAGTGGTGAGATCTTGGCTCACTACAACCTCTGCCTCCTGGATTCAAGTGATTCTCCTGCCTCAGCCTCCTGAGTAGCTGGGATTACTGGTACATGCCACCACACCTGGCTAATTTTGTATTTTTAGTAAACACGGGTTTTCTCCACGTTGGTCAGGCTGGTCTCGAACTCCTGACCTCAGGTGATCCCCCAGCCTTGGCCTCCCAAAGCACTGGGGTTATAGGCATGAGTCGCTGTGCCTGGCCATGTATGTTTAATTTTTTTTTTTTTTTAAGATGGGTTTCACCATGTTGGTCAGGCTGGTCTTCAACTTCCGACCTCAGGTGATCCACCTGCCTTGGCCTCCAAAGTGCTTGGATTACAGGCGTGAGCTACCACGCCCGGCCACGTTTTTTTTTTTTTTTTTTTAAGACGGAGTTTCGCTCTTGTTACCCAGGCTGGAGTGCAATGGCGCGATCTCGGCTCACCGCAACCTCCGCCTCCCGGGTTCAGGCAATTCTCCTGCCTCAGCCTCCTGAGTAGCTGGGATTACAGGCACGCGCCACCATGCCCAGCTACTTTTTTGTATTTTTAGTAGAGACGGGGTTTCACCATGTTGACCAGGTTGGTCTCGATCTCTCGACCTCATGATCCACCCGCCTCGGCCTCCCAAAGTGCTGGGATTACAGGCTTGAGCCACCGCGCCCGGCCGCTGCGTTTAACTTTTTTTTTTTTTTTTTTTTTTTTTTTTTTTTGAGACGGAGTTTCGCTCTTGTTACCCAGGCTGGAGTGCAATGGCTCAATCTCGGCTCACCGCAACCTCCGCCTCCTGGGTTCAGGCAATTCTCCTGCCTCAGCCTCCTGAGTAGCTGGGATTACAGGCACGCGCCACCATGCCCAGCTAATTTTTTGTATTTTTTTTTTTAGTAGAGACGGGGTTTCACCATGTTGACCAGGATGGTCTTGATCTCTCGACCTCGTGATCCACCCGCCTCGGCCTCCCAAAGTGCTGGGATTACAGGCTTGAGCCACCGCGCCCGGCGCGTTTAACTTTTAAAACACTACGAAACTGTTTTCTAAAGTTGCAACATCATTTTACATTTCCACTGGTGGTATAGGAGTTCCATTTCCTCCATATCTTCAGCAACAGTTGGTATGGTCTGATTTTAAATTCTAACTAGGACCTTTAGTTGACAGAGCGCGGAGCCTACAGCAGCCTGAGGCCAAGCACTCCTGCTGGCTCCCACAGCCTGGCCTCCTTGCTGGCCGCCAGGTAGGTCACCGCTCGGGTCCAGGAGCTAGGCACGGGACCAGCCAGCGTCAGCCTCCAGGGCCTGGGCAGACCGCCAGGCGAGCGCGCCGCAGCGCTCAAAACTCGTCGCTGGCTGCCCTGCGTCTACTCGGCGGCTACTGGCTATGGAGCCGCGCACAGGGGGCGCCGCGGACCCTAAGGGGAGCAGAGGAGGTACAGGGATTGGGGGTGTTGGGGAAGGACAGGTTGAGTTGCTGCCACCCTCTTCCGGCCTGTCCGCTCCACATTTTTTTCTTCTGACAGGTGGTAAACAGAGCTGCTCTGGCGCCCAAGTGGCGCTGGCAGGGGGCAGGGGCCCAGCGATGGAGGCTGGACTTGAGGTCCCCTATACACCCCCACACCCGAGCGAAAGGGCCGCGTACCAGAGCAAGGGAGGGGCTCTCAGGAGTCTCCAGGGAGATGTGCAGATGTGCGGGGCGGGGTCTGTCCGTGGTCACTGGGGACACCTGAGCTCTCAGGGTCTGTAGTGAGCTGAGGGTAGGGGAGCTGGGGTCCCTGGGGACCTGTGGAGGGGGAATCTGGAGGTACATGGGTCATGGGGGAAGGGGCCTTCTGAGGAAATTCATGGGGATAGCAGAGGTTGCCTAGGATACCTAGAGTGGAAATTGGGGGACCCAGGGCTACGGGGTCAGGTCATGTTCTCCTAGAATATCTGGGGGAAACGGGGTCCCCGGAGATATCGTGGGCGAAGAGTTGGGCGTCCAGGGTGATTAGGGGGCAGTCGAGGACTTCACAGGGTGTTAAGAGGTGTCCAAGACTATTACAGTCAAAGAGCAATCTCCAGGGACACCGTGAGGGCAGGCGGGGGTGCACCGGCTACCCGCGATGGTCTGGGATCGGGTGAGGGGAGGGACAGCGGCGACCTCCGGAACTATTGAGGGAGTGGCCAGGGATCCCCGGGTATCCTGAGGGCGTGGGGGTGGGCCGAGGCCGAAGGTTGACGTTGACCTGTCCCCTTCTCCCGCCCAGGCCGCGGAACCTCTCAGCCGGCGGGCCCCAGCGCGCGACAGCTCCTGGCGCGGCTGGACGCGCGCCCCCTGGCGGCGCGAGCTGCGGGCGACGTGGCGGCGCTGGTACGCAGGGCAGGTGCCACATTGCGCCTGCGTCCCAAGGAGGGTGCGTGAAGGGGCGGGGCCTCCCCGGGGGGCAGGTTCGGAGAGGAGCTGGGTTCAGAGGGTCAGGCCCTGGGGATCAGCAGCTACTGCCCTGTCTTGGGTGGAGCCAAGGGGTGCGATTTGGAGGGGCGGGGCTCGGAGGCTGCTTCGAGTGGGCGGAGCCTTGGGGTTATCCTAAAATAGTCCGTGACGGTTATCGCAGTAGGCGAGGGCCAGATCAGTTGAGAGTGCGGGACTGTCTTCTGAAGTCTAGGAGGAGTAAAAAAAAAGAAAGAAAGAAAAAGAAAAAAAAAAAAGTGAGAATGCGGGGCTGGATCCCTGTTCTGGCCGATGAGGCTTCCAGGGTCATTTCCGAGGAGGTGGGGCCTGGAGAGTGCTGGGGGCGGGCATGCAGCGGAGGGGCAGGCCTAAAATGTGAGTCACGGGGGTGGAGCCTATAGGCCCATAGGGGCGGGGCTTGAGATGTCAGGAATGGGATGAGGGTTAGAGGCTAATCAGAGGGTGTGCTCTGGAAGGTTTGGGAGCCAAATTTTGGAGTAGCACCCTTCAGGGTGGGCCGAATGGTGTTATTTGAGGGATGTGTTCTGCGTGTTATTAGAGGGAGATAGGAAGGCCTGGAAGATTATTCACATGGGTGAGCCCAGGATTGTTTGTTAAGAAGGTGGGGTCCGAACAGTTATTTGTTTGGGCTGAGAGCCTTTAAAAGATTACTTGAGGGGATGGTGCCTAGTGAAATGGTGGGCCAGTTTGTAAATGAGGTGCAGGGGCTAGGCAAATAGATGAGGTTAGAATGCTAACTCAGGGAGCAGGTCCTAGGTAGTTTCCATGGCATGTCCCCCCACAGTCCTCTCCACCACTTTTATTCCCCAGCTGTTAGTGTGTTGGACTCTGCAGACATAGAGGTCACAGACAGTCGCCTGCCTCATGCCACTATTGTGGATCACCCGTCCCAGGTACCAACTCATCCTTCTATTAGAGGCCACCTGCCTCGGGGCAATCTATGTACACCTATGTCCTTTATTCCAGCACCGTCGGTTAGAGACATGTAACAAGCCTCCCCAAGTGATCCAGGGTAAGGCACGTAGTGCTCCAAAGCCCTCCCAGGCCTCTGGTCACTTCTCTGTGGAGCTGGTCCGCGGTCACGCAGGCTTTGGCCTCACCTTAGGTGGGGGCCGGGATGTGGTTGGGGATGCTCCGCTGTCCGTGCGCGGGCTGCTGAAGAATGGCCCGGCACAGCGCTGTGGTCGTTTGGAGGTGAGCCCTGAAGCCCCTTCCACTGGTAGGTGCTATCTCTCCATTTGTTGGGATGGTCTCCTTTTGCCTTTCCAACACTACTGACTTGCACTCTTGAAGGTCGGGGACCTCGTGCTTCACATCAATGGAGAGTCAACGCAGGGCCTCACCCATGCCCAGGCTGTGGAGCGGATCCGAGCTGGAGGCCCCCAGCTCCACCTGGTGCTTCATCGGCCTCTAGAGACCCACCCTGGCAAGCCTCAAGGGGTGGGAGAGCCCCAAAAAGGAGTTGGTGGGTTTCCCAGGGAAGAGAAGTCAGAGATCAGTGAGGAGAAGGGAGAGGTTCACAGAGTGGAGAGGCTGAGATTCTGGGTAGGAAGGGTTTGGTGGTCTCTGTGGGGAGAGTATGCAAGAGGTCATGGTATTCTCACAAGTAGGAGCAGGGAGGGTCCCAGGGTCCCAGGATAGGAATAAAGTAGGGGCAGGGAGGGGTGTCAGTCCCAAGGATAGGGATTTCAGAGGATGGGCTTTCCAGGTACTGTGGAGAGAGAAGGGAAGGGGTCTGGGATAAAAGCAAGTGTTTGGAAGGAAGGGTCTTAGTTCTTAGAGGGGAAGGCAGAGTGGATCTTACCGGGGAGGAAATGGGAAGGAGATCCAGAGGGTATCGGGTCTAGTTCTGAAGAACAGAGTCTGTGATTTGGGAGTCAAGGGAGGTGGGATGAGAGGAGAGAGTAGGGGATCCTAGATGAGAGGGGCTTGATTTCCTTTGGAGACTGTAGGAAATGATTTCTGAGGGGCATGTTCTGGATCCAGGAGGGGAGGGGTCTCGGGAAAGGAGGTGTTAGGGTTGTGAGGGGCGGTGCTGGCCCCAGAAGGCCTCGAGAGGAGATTTTTCTAAGGGCCAAGTTCTCCGTCTCCCACAGCCTTTGGGTTATTCTGTCCACCCTCGGCCAAAAGCCCTGATTTCCCTTCCCTACTTCACCACCCAATCTAACCCGTAGTCCCGCCATTGCCAGATCGCAGCCCAGATCCTGGAGGGCCGGAGGCGATGGGGTCTCGCAGCAGCAGCACTTCCCCAGTTCAGCACCTTCCATCCCGGACGACACTCAAGAAGACCCGGGGCAGCCCGGAGCCTAGACCAGAGGCAGCCGCCGGTGGCCCCAAGGTTTCTCCTCCTGAGCGCCTCACTGAGGATCCCAACGATCAGACCCCTGGTTCCCCGGGTCCCTGGCTAGTGCCCAGCGAGGAACGGCTCTTGCGCACCCTAGGGGTCCGGGGGGCAGCGCAGCTCGCTCAGGAGAAGGCAGCCGGAAGGCGGAGGCACTGAGCCTACCTGTGACGGCTCGGGGCTCACTAGTTACCGCCCAACCTGGATCCGGCGCGTGTGGCCGCCCCGCTCTTGGCACCTCCCCAGAGCTTCCACTTGGTCTGGTCCCCCCTCCCGCTCCGCAGTGGCTCTGCCCGCACTCCCCTCTCAGCGTCAGTGGTACAACCCTTCCAGCCCGGCCAGCCTGAACTTCTGGTTCTGGGGCGGGCGGGGGTGTGTGTGTGTAATAAAATGGTTCGACCCGGTCTTGGCTTGCCAGGTGCTCGAGGCGGGGTAGGGCTGCTCAGAGCAGTCTGTAATGGAGCGAGTGGGTCGATCCTGTTTAGAGTAATCGCTGACGTGCTTCGTGCAGCTGGTCTCCTGCTTGCACACAGATCTTTGCTTCTGCCTGCCGGTTCTCAGCCCGGCGTGCTTTCTCCCCATTCTTTTTCTCTTTACCGTCTCCTGCTCCTCTCCTTATTCATTCATTTCACCTTTTTGGAGGTGTGCAGGGGCTCACACATAAATTATTGTGCATGGCATGGTGGGCCTGTCGTGGCGGGACTACACCAGTGTACCCACAGACCCTCAGCTGACGTCGGGCGAAGCAGGGCGGCTTCCTTCGCCAGGGGCCTGTGGTCTCCCACTTCCGGCCTAGTCGGCCAGCTTTTGCTGGCACCTAGGCTACCACTCTCAGGGCACCAGCTGGGGACCTGGAGCCCCCTTTGGGGCGGAGCAGGGAAGGTGTGAGTCAGCGCCCCCGGGCGGGCCGGGCTAAAAAAGGCTGTTAGAACCTTTGGGCCGTGCCCCCATTTTCCGTACATGGTGAAGAACTGCAGCCCGGCTTGTGTGCACACGCCACACACTGGGCGTTCCTGGCCCTGGGAGAGGCCCAGAGTTTCCTTCACCCTGGGAACAGAGCTCCACAGCCAGGGCTTATATGGCCAGCGGGACTCCAACCGGGGTAGCCGCGAGGAAGGCGCTGGCAGAGGAGAGCAATGTCCAGTCACCTCCGCTGTCGCCACATCCTGAGCACTCGGCTCCATCCCCCCCCAAGAGGGAAGCTGTGGTTTGACGGAATGGGCAACTTTTGCCCCTGTGGGGAGAAGACGGGGAAGGAAGAAAGAAATTAAAGGATCTGGTGGGGCGCGGTGGCTCACCCCCATAATCCCAGCACTTTGGGAGGCAGAGGCTGGCGGATCACCTGAGGTCGACCAACATGGAGAAACCCGTCTCTACTAAAAATACAAAAATTAGCCAGGGGTGGTGACATGCGTCTGTAGTTCCAGCTACTCGGGAGGCTGAGGGAGAATAGCTTGAACCTGGGAAGCAGAGGTTGTGGTGAGCCGAGATTAACACCATTACACTTCAGCCTGGGTGATAAGACTGAAACTCCATGTCAAATAAATAAATAAATAAATAAAAAGAAAAGAAAAGAGAAAGGAAAAAAGAAAAGAAAGAAATTAAAGGACCCGAGTGTGAGAGTCCAGGTGGCCTTGGAGAGGAAAGAGGAACGGAGAAGACAAGCTGCAAGAGCTGGGAGCTGGAGGGTGAAGAGGCGAACACTGAGTGGTTAAAGCTGTACATAGACATTGTGGGAGAGTGTGCCAGGGTGGCTTCCAGCTACCCCTGACTTAGAGCCTGGTGGAGGTGTGGTTCTTCAGAACTCAGCAAAAGGCTCAAGAGCCCCAGTCCTATAAATACAGTCCCACCCAGGAGACTAATAATAGTAACCCCAGCCAGCATGTACTTAGTTTTATCTTTGCTACTGGCTTTATTGCAATATTTATTTTCATCTACAGTAGTTGCACATCCACTCAATGATCCAAATATGTCCATTTCACAGAGGAGGAAAGCGAGGCCCAGGGAGTGCAGATAGCTTGAGAGAAGAGGGTCAAAGCAAGATTTAATCAAAGCCTGATTTCCAAGCCTGTCCTCTTAATTTCACCTGCATTGACAAATATTCATTGAACCCCAACTGTATACATTGCACTGTGCTAGGTACTGTGGAGATGCTGGAGGAACAAGACATAATATTTCTATCTTTGTGTAGCTGAGGGTAAACAGATGTTAGACAAAAAAGACAAGAAAATGAATAAATTAAAAACCAGGCTGGGCGCAGTGGCTCACACTTGTAATCCCAGCACCTTGGGAAGCCAAGGCTGGCAGATCACCTGAGGTTGAGAGTTTGAGACCAGCCTGACCAACATGGAGTAACCCCATCTCTACTAAAAATACAAAAATTAGGTGGGCATGGTGGCAGGTGCCTGTAATCCCAGTTACTCGGGAGGCTGAGGCAAGGAGAATTCCTTGAACCCGAGAGGCAGATGTTGCAGCAATGAGCCAAGATTGTGCCACTGCACTCCAGCCTGAGTGACAGAGCAAGACTTCGTCTCAAACAACAACAATAACGACAACAACAAAACCCATTTCAGGACAGACATGGTGGTTCGTGCCTGTAGTCCCAGCACTTCGGGAGGCTGAAGCGGGTGGATTGCTTGAGCCTATGAGTTTGAGACCAGCCTGGGCAACATAGAGAGTCCTCCTCTACAAAAAGTTGAAAAAAATAGCAGGGTGTGGTGGCTCATGCCTGTAGTCCCAACTACTTGGGACACTGAGGTGGGAGGATCACTTGAGCCCGGGAGGTCAGGGCTGCAGCAAGCCATGATTTTGCCACTGCACTCTAGCTGGGATGACAGTGAGACCTTATTAAAAAAAAAAAAAAGTCCAGGTGCAGTGGCTCACACCTGTAATCCCAGCACTTTGGGAGGCCAAGGCAGATAGATCATCCAAGGTTGGGAGTTCCAGACCAGTCTGACCAACATGGAGAAATCCCATATAAAAATACGAAATTAGCTGGGTGTGGTGGCACATGCCTGTAATCCCTGATACTCAGGAGGCTGAGGCAGGAGAATTGCTTGAACCTGGAAGGTGGAGGTTGCGCCATTGCACACCAGCCTGGGCAACAAGAACAAAACTCTGTATCCAAAAAAAAAAAAAAAAAAAAAAAAAAAAAAAAAAGACAATTTCAGAGAGAAGTGAGAGCCATGAAGCTATGAAGGAGGTTATATTGTGGGAGATGATGGTGGGCTTCTGGCCTCTTTGAAGACGTAACACTTGAGCTGGGAACTGAATGAGCAGAAGCCAGGTATATGAAGCACCGAGCGAAGGACATTGACAACAGGGGGCTGAAGCGGAACCAGGTTTGTCTTGTTTCAGAAACTCAGATGTGTCCTCACAGAGTTGGCAAGCACATACTCATCACTGGGAAGAGTATGTTTCATCCTTTCCACTATTCACTCCCACTTCCAGCAACCTGGACTGAAGGGGGGTGCTCTTTCCTTAGTTTTGAGGGGCCCTGTGTGGGCAGAGTGAGCAGGCAGGCCCTTGGGTTGAATCCTCTTGGCCACCCAGTTATGATTCTCCTCCACTTCAAATGAGATAAGAATAAAAGCAACATCTAGTCTGGAGAGTATGTCCCTCGGGGTACCTCTGGGATTCTGATTCCAGGAGACCAGATGCATGTCTTAGATGAAGAAATTAAGGCTGAGCTGGGGGAAATAACCTGCTCAAAATAACACACTCAGCCAGGTGTGGTGGCTCATGCCTGTAATTTCGGCACCTTGGAAGGCCAAGGCAGGAGGATTGCTTGAGGTCAGGAGTTCAAGACCAGCCTGACCAACATAGCGAGACTGCGTCTCTACTAAAAAATAAATAAAGTGTCTACAAATGTCACCCAGCCTTGCACCCCAGGAACTGTCCATTCATCTTTCCAATCCCCCAGAAATAAACTTTCCTATTCCTCATGTACGATTGTGCTGACTGGCCCCTCTCTTCAGAACCAGGAAACTGAAGCCCAACATTTAGGGCCAGGACTTCCTGGACTTCCTTGGGATTGCAGAGCACAGAATCAGACCCTGGTCTCTAACACCATTACAAAAAAAGTTGTTTTTTTTTTTCTTCTTCTTTTTTTTTTTTAATAGAGACAAGCTCTCACTACATTGCCCAGGCTGGTCTCGAACTCAAGCTGAAGTGATTCTCCCACCTTGGCCTCCCAAAGTGTTAGGATTACAGGTGTGAGCCACTGCTCCTGGTCTTGGGCTCTAACATTAGAAACAAGGCTTGCCCTATTTCTTATCAGCTCAATGCTCACCAAGCCCTGTTCTCACACAGCCTTTACACGGGCAGGATCTTATTCCCATCACTGCTCAGAGGTTTCTTCCACTGTCCACAATCCATTATCCAAAATTCTAGAGAACAAAAAGCTCTGTAAACTGGTGGTTTTCTGACGAGTTAGGCACTATTTGGTTACAAAATTTGACCTGATCTAATGAGGAACACTTTTCTTTCTTTGTTTTTCCTTTTTTGGAGACAGGATCTTTCTCTGTTGCCCAGGTAGGAGTGCAGTGGCGTGATCATGGTTCACTGAGCCTCGAACTCCCAGGCTCAAGCAATCCTGCCACCTCAGCCTCCCGAGTAGTTGGGATTATAGGCACGTGCCTAGACTAATTTTTAAAATTATTTGTAGAGACGATTATGTTCCCAAGATTGATCTCAAACTCCTGGGCTCAAGCAATCCTTCCACCTGAGCCTCTCAGAGTGCTGGGATTACTGGCATGAGCCACCGCGGCCGGCCAAGGAACACTCTTCAATCCTTAACCAGTTACTGTGAACGTTCATGCTTTTTCTTGAATAAACACTGTTTCTTTCTTTCTTTTTTTTTTTTTTTTTTTTTTGAGACAGAGTTTCGCTCTTGTTACCCAGGCTGGAGTGCAATGGCACGATCTCGGCTCACCGCAACCTCCGCCTCCTGGGTTCAGGCAATTCTCCTGTCTCAGCCTCCTGAGTAGCTGGGATTACAGGTACGCACCACCATGCCCAGCTAACTTTTTGTATTTTTAATAGAGACGGGGTTTCACCATGTTGACCAGGATGGTCTCGATCTCTTGACCTCGTGATCCACCCGCCTCGGCCTCCCAAAGTGCTGGGATTACAGGCTTGAGCCACCGCGCCCGGCTGTTTCTATTTTTTTTAACGCGTCAGCTCCAAACCCCGGCTGAGAGTATATGCACAGGAAGACTCCGAAATAAAAAATGTTCTGAATTCTGGCAACGTACTGGGTCCCAAGTCTTTGGGATTTAACTCCGCCTCGGCCGTTTTATTCAGTTAAGGAAACTGAGTCACTCCCTCCCAAAGCCAGATTCCCTTGGTTCTAAGTTGAAGCTGTCTCGGGTACATTTGCATTCCAAAAAGGCGAAGGGTCCCG